AGTGATGAGTTGGCCGACACGTTTCGAATGCATTCTGCATCCATTATCAAGGCTGAATGTACACAAAGTACACCAACATCCGAATATATATATATTTGTTTGTTTGGTTTTGTTTTGAATTTTGCGCAAAGCTACACGTGGGCTATCTGAGCTAGCCGTCCCTAACTTAGCAGTGCAAGACTAGAGGGAAGGCAGCTAGTCATCACCACCCACCGCCAACTCTTGGGCTACTCTTTTGCCAACAAATAGTGGGATTGACCTTCACATTATAATGCCCCCACGGCTGAAAGGACGAGCATGTTTGTTGTGACGGGGATTCAAATCGGCGAACCTCAGATTGCGAGTCGAGTGCCCTAACCACCTGGCCATGCCGGGCCCAAAGGTATTGTTGAAATATTGTATTTGCTGGGTTTTTATGTGTGTTTTTTGCTGTAGTTGTTGTTTTCTTAATTAAGTTTTTCTGGTTCTTTTTCCTTATTCCATTATTACTGATTTGTTAATATTTATGATAAATTGTTCATTAATATTGGCCAGGCATTTGTTTATTAATTATGTTTTGGTAAGTGTTGTTATTGTGAATAAATTACATTTTGTTGTTGAATCCTGATTGTAGCTGTTTGATCATATTAGATCGATATACTTTCGCTACAGTATTTAAGTCGGATATTTCCGTAGTTATGTCTCTTGACTCTTAAACTTCGCTACTATAAACCCAGTAGTCAGACCAAGAAGAAGATCAGTAGTCTTCGTAACAAAACACTATTTGTAAATATTTGTATTTCAAACTAAATGTGTGTTTGCTTATTTTTCTCTAATATCCATATTTAAGTATCTGAACAGTCCTGAACTCGCGTTTTGCGAGAATCTTTAGGTTACTCTTGGACATCAGTATACCTAAATACCACAGACTGATTATAACATTTTCATGCCATGACCAAAGAATTTGTTATTGCAGAATATATTTTAATTGTGCTTCTTTTTCTATTGACTGTCTGGCAAACTAACATTTATAGAACCTGCTATCGCGGAAGATAAGTTCCTGAGACCATCTGAAACGTACGGCAGAGACTAAGAATCTGCGGTGTTAGTGAGGATCCAAGAACATGGCAAGATCTAGTAGGGGCATTCTCCAACCATGATGACTAGTTTGTCGGCATTTTCTTTCCGTCCTCGGGATCAAGAGGTTGATAGGCACTTCGCTGAGAAGTCACGGGAACCCTTAATTGTTTGTTTGTTTATAATTTCGCGCAAAGCTTCACGAGGGCTATCTGCGCTTACAGTCCTGAATTTACCAGTGATAGACTAGACGGAAGGTAACTAGTCAACATCGCCCACCGCCAACTCTTGGGCTACTCTTTTACCAACGAGGCCTGACATGGCCAGGTGGTTAGAGCGCTCGACTCGCAATCTGAGGGTCAAGAGTTCGAATCCCCGTCCCACCAAACATGCTCGCCCTTTCAGCCATGGGGGTGTAATAATGTGACAATCAATCCCACTATTCGTTGGTAAGAGCGTAGCCCAAGAGATG